CGTTGGCTACACATGTTACCACTGAATCACCAACACCTGCAACTATAACAGAAGCACTGACAACAACTGTGCCTACCGAAATTCTAACAGAAACCGTAAGAAGTACACTTAGAACAATGACAACAGAAGAAGTGACAAAAATATTAACTGCCAGCACAGAAGTTATGACAACAGAAGAATTAACAGAGATTGTTGGGTTTACAACACCATTGGTGACTGGTACACCTGAAAAAGTGTCTGAAATTATTTCTCTTGTAACTACTGCTGCAACACCTTCGCTCATGACAACACTTGTGGAGAAAACCGTTACAGCAGCAACACCTGCAACTGTTACAGAGGCCATTAAAACTACGTTAAGGACAGTAAGCCCAACAGCTATTAGCAGAGTTCTTGAAACACTAATATCAAGTGCTACACCAGAGATAACTAGCAAACTAGTTGAAGTAACAACAGCTACTGTAACTCCTGAAATCTTGACGAGTGTTATTATGCCTACTATTATGACTACAGAACTTGTTACGCAGGTGGTGGAGTTGACCACCGCAGCAGCCACACCAGAGGTAACAACAGAATTAATCAAAATAACTTCAGAAGCAATAAGTCCTGAAATATTACCAACAGCTGTGTCTGCAATCACGACTGCTGTCCCACCTTCTGTAACAACAAAAATTATAGAAATTACATCTACAGCTGCAACTGTTAGTCCAGAGCTTGTTACCGCAATCTCAGACATCACCAGAGAGTATGTTACTACTGAAATGTTGACAGAAATAGTTACTGCTGCTGCAACTACAACACCGGAGATAATGACTACTATATCAGAAGTTATAACAAATTTCACATCTCCAGCTGAGTTGACTGAAATTATGACTGCCATTACTAAGTATTTCCCAACAGAAACGACTGCAGCCGTTGTAACAGGTATCACCATTTCACCTGTCACTTCTGTAACACCCACACAAATTATGACAACTATAGCACAGACAATGACACCTTATGTTATAACTGAGATTGTTGAAACCTCTACAATGACAGCCAGCCCGGAGGTACTAACATCAATTTTAACAGCCACTGCCAAATCACTAACTCCTGAATTAGTATCAATTGCTACGACGCAACCCGGAACTAGTGAGCTGGTCACAAGAATTATTGAGACATCATTGGCTGCATCCTCACCATTAACTGTGACAGAAGTGGTTGAAACAGCAATTACAACTGCCCCACCTGAAGTTATTTCAAAAACAGTCACTGAAGCCATTAAAACTGCACCAACAGAGATTTTAACTGAAATTGTCACACTGACAAGTGAAATCGCAACTACTGAAGAATTGACAAAATACATTGAAACAACAGCGATGACAGCAACGCCTGAATACTTGACATCGGTATTAGAAACAACACTTCGAGTTACAGAGAAATACAGAACAATTGTGTCCACGGAAACGCCATCGCTTATTAATGTCACAATCACTTCACCCCCAAGTACACCAGGTGTATCTGCACCAACAACAGGTAGGTTGTAATCATGTTTAAACACATATTTTAGCTGATAATCAATTAAATTGAATGAAATTTTACTCATAATGAACTGTCTGAGATTTGATTTTTTCTGTTTTTTCCGCAACAGTTGTATGTCCTACAGGTACGCGTTACCGACTCAACGCATACACATGTGATAGATTATGCCCAGCGTTGGTGAAATCAAACCCACAATGTGCATATGATCGCAATGTTAGTTTCAGCGCATGCTTACCTGAAGATAAGCTAAGATCTGGAGAAGATTTCTGTAGTGATATTGGAAAGCTAATAATGGTCATGTCTACAAATGAAATTACATGCATACCAGAAAGTGAGTGTTTGTGTTTGAGGGATGACACACAAGAGTTGGTCGCTGTAAGTGTTATTAGATTCCTTCATGATTCATATTATAATAGCACACCTATGCAGGGAGAATGTTTGATCCCTTCGGGGGGGGGGGGGTAAACACCAATATTTAGAAAGTTATCACCACCAGTTCCCTCTTTTCATCACAAATTCACAAAATAGCCCTGTTTATATTCTGTACTTTCCTTCAGAACATTTGGACAAAAATAGCCAAAAACTGGAAATTGTCTCAAATGTTGTCTGTTGGCTCAAAAATTAGGGTTCATTTCCAGAAATATTGAAGAATAATTAAAAAAAAAGTAGAACATATATCAAATATGTATATTCCCACTGTACCCAGAAATTAATAGGCCTGATATCACCCCCCCTCCCCCGTCTCCCCTCCTTCAATACAAATGGTTGTCATTGTAGTTCAAAAAATTTAAAACACAGCTAAAATTATATACTACCAGAAATGGCTGTAAAACCCCAGGATGTGTGACCTTTAGGAGTTGTGTTAATGGCCTGCTGAATTTATTATTACAAATGTCTCTACATATTTACATGCATTTACAAAATCAAAAATCATATTTGCTATTATCATTTATTCTGTGATATAATGCATGTAATAATCATCTCTGTGTATTTAGAAATAATAAATAGAGTAAATGAAGTGCATTTTCTTCCTCTAATAGCCGTTCTCAAAATGGGAAAAGGAAGCTTGTGAGATTTGTACTTGTGCAAATGGGTTAATATACTGTACCACAAAAACAACAGAAGAGTGTTTGATAACATCCACTGCCATGACACCTATTACAGGTAAGTGTCACCATCTGTCTAGTATTTTTCTGTGTGTATGTCTGCTCAGTATTTCCAATATTTTGTTCTAATTGATTGTTCATAAATATGCATATTCAGTGGGATACATATATAGAATGTTTTGTGATTTCAGTTTCAGCACAACCCACTCTCAATGTGACATTATTTACAATTCAACCGGAAGTAGCGGCATGTTCGGCAGTCACGAATGTTACACTTTGTCCCGATAACTGCCCTACTGGTCAATTATGTGATGGTAGGTCCTGTGTGGATTCGGTAGATTGTCCATGCGTCTACGAAGGTCGCATATACAACACTGGACTTTTCGTCAATGAGAGATGTGAACATTGTAACTGTTTTGATGGCAATGTCATAAGTTGCTCACCATACTGTGATATTGACCCATGTGAGGCTGGACAAGAGAGGATCCATCCAGATGGAGAGTGTTGCCGATGTCAACCATGTCAATGCGATACTGGCTTCTTTCATTGTACATCTAGTACTTCACCAACCTGCCAAGATCAGTGTATCTTGGAATCGCAGAAGTGTGATGGTAATCTTGATTGTCCTGGTGGGGAAGACGAAGAGTCCTGTGTTATACCAACAACTTTACCAACAATAGAAACTACAGCGCCACCAATTGGTGAGTAGTGTAAAACTACCCATCATGCATTAGCAAATTAGCATTTTTCAATTAAAGTGTTGTCATTGTTGTGTTGAAATTTCCAACGCTTACAGATATTATGTTTTCAACAAAGAAAAAAAAGGTCTTATCAAAACGTGTCTAAATATGTATATGTGTGCT